ATGGGTACAACTGGTCCAGATAGATTAGGTGTATTTAGTGATATGAGGGAATTGAGGGAATGAGGGAACTTTTATGGTATTCGCTCTCTTGGTGATCTACAAGGTGTTCAAAAGAGGTGGGGAAATATTTTACGTACTGGTTCCTTGGGTCAAAATAAATAAAAAATCAGGAATACAATTTTTTCGAATATGGCTTCGTTAACCACATATCCACCATTTTGTATTTTTTACATAAACATTTTTCTCTTTGATTTCTTCCAACCAACCTTTATGAAACTTGGTATAAAGCTTAAGATTGGTATAACCAGACCGATTTTGGAAAAAATGTTATTCTTGATTTTCTATTTATTTTAGCCCAAGGAATCAATACGTTATATATGTCCCCACCTTTTTTGAACAACATGTATAAACACGAGAGCTAATTAATGTAAATGGCAATTGTTCAATTTGTTTTTACGGGGTAACTATTCCAACAGCCTAGCTTCTCCCAGGCGGAGGAATGTTCCTCCTGATAGTCATGCAAGTGGCCTGGGTATCCTGTGGGGATGTAGCGGTGCAGGACCTACTCTCCGCAGGTCTGTCCCCCGCCGCCCTCCTAGGTGTCGGTGTCCCGGGTACACGCCCCGCCGACGCCCACGACCGCAACCAGAGTGTAACGTACGGTGACCTGTCACATGCTCTAGGCACTATGCTCTACCACAGGTAACAATACTGCTACTTAAATGAATACCCTGAATTACGTTACATATATTGTAGTGTTGTGGTCACTCTTTATAAGAAACAGTTTCCATCACGATAAGTAAAAAAAAGTTTTAACCATGTGTTGGGTTAGGAATCTGATTTCGTCCTCAGGACCAACCAAAGCTAAGAAATCACAAATGGATTATTCTGTAATCAGATACTTCTATAATGTTGAAATCATCTTTGTAGTTTCCTCAAGCTTTGGTTGTGTTTGTGAACTAATCTTGTTATGTTTTAGATACTTCCTCACCCGGATACGAAATCACATTACAGATCACAAATCCTGAAAATTTGATTTGTTCATACTCGTGGTGGGAAATTACCAAAATGGTCCTTTAATTACCATAAGATTACCACAACCAAAAATGAACTACAAAAAATGGACATAAATACATGAAATTAAAACTAGAACTAATACTTTGAACGTTATTTTGAAATACAGCAATAATAATTTTCATAGCCAAAATTAGTGTTTTGAGTACTTATATGAGTTTGACGCTAAAGCAAAGTTTCGTAATTGGACTCAATATTAGACGTAGATAATAGTCATAAAATTCTCACGATGATAAACACATGTTTAGCATCAAAGCAGCAAAGATTACTGCATTAGTAACCTTCTCATTTTGATTACTCTAGTAACTAGGTGTGATATAAAAAATTATAGATAGTCTAAGGTTGAAGACTCTATTGCAGGTCGATGATGAATGAGTACCTTTGCCATAACTACGTCGCTGATGAGATTCTCACAGAGCTACGACCACTGGAGAGTCGGTCAGAAGAGACCCCTGTGGAGGCCGGGGCGAGTACCCTGGGGGGCGGAGTCCTGCGGGACCATCTCCTGGCCGATCCTGGGTCTTCGGGGTACAAGGATTGGCTGGAAAGGTGTATATTGCGACAGTGAATACGATGTCCTTGTAATAACCAATATAAATAAGTTTCAGACAGTAAAGCAGACACAGGCCAGCCTGGAATTGGTTGGATATAGTTAACTTTGCCTGCAGTAAAACCAATTAGCGATTTCCATCTGGCAATGAGAGGATTGTTGTTACCATTGATGTAACGACTCAAAGAAACCGTAGCGGCTCTCTCTCAAATTGTAGTTTTGTTTTAATATAATCTTACTACAGTATACTTTGGAGTAAATTATATCAATGAATTTGAAAAATAAACTCCACTTGGTGGTGATCTAAGGTATTTAGTGCTTTGAAACTTTCTTTCTGGCAGATTATAGCAGTGGTTTTCAGAGTGAAAACACAGAAAATTGTCACGATCAGAAATCTTATTTTATAGTCATTTTATCTTACCATACACACCAGAATTTTGGTCATTGTACATGCATCAAACTCAGAGATTCATTTAATACCCATACAAATTATCTTGATGAATTTTATATGAATATAATAACGTTTGAAGAGCTGCCAGTGGTAGTATATAGTATTTAACTTAAATATACAGTACTTGTAGACATAGATAATAAATTCGTTTGTCACCTACAATTCAAATATCTTTATAGTTCAGCGAAGATGGAAGACATGTATGGACAGGCCGATCCCAAGGGCTCGTACCCAGAAGGTTTCGAGACCGGAGATGTGACCGGCTTCGCGACTGTCCAAGGGGGCAAAGGAAACTACAAATTGGGCGGAGGCGGGGATGGTGTCGACTGGTCCAGTGGTGGAGGCAGTACGGGCTGGGACACTGGGGGCGGTGAAGGCTGGACTGTAGGTGGAGGAGGGTGGAGTGGAAGTGGAGGAGGGTGGAGTGGAGGTGGAGGAGGATGGAGTGGAGGAAGTGGCTGGACAGAGGGTGGACTTCAAGGATGGAGTGACAACAGCGGTAAGATAAATACATGGATATGTGAAGTCGTACAGAAATGCAGGATTCATCGGTACCACAAACAACTGGGATTCCTGATTATGACTAATTTATTCACATGCTCAAGGTAAAAGATTCTCTAAGGCATTTAATATATAAATGTTCGAGATCGTAGAATAGCCCCGAAAATACTAATCCAATCTCCGTATCTTATTCTACAGAATACAACATAAGTCAGTAAGAAAGCTACACAGATCATCTTACACCATTCTACACTCATATTTGGGTAAAAATACGCACCTATGTGGCGTCCCCATCTCAATTATTGATAATTAACAATTGACATCCTGAAATATATAATTAAGAAAGTTTTCCTAGATGCCAAATTGGGGATTTGGATGCGGTTGTGACATTCTGTGTTTTATTAGTAATGTGGCTAGATTCCATAGCAACACATTCTAAAATTATGAATTAACTTTTGTTAGAAAATATGGATGCTCGAATAATGTATTTTATTTTTTTTTTACTTTTAAGGACTGGCCCTCAAGGATCTATTTGATCTCGCCCTGACAGCCCTTGCATTCCTGGCTTTCAAGATTTTTGCCCTTCAACTGATATTGGCTTGTTTTGCGGTCAGTACAATAGTACAATCCAGTAGTTGTAAGTATGTGTACTAGTTAATTAGTTTATGTGTATAATCTTTCTTCACTAGTGTGTAACTGTTTTGAAAGGTGTTACTGATGACTATAATGTTGTGATCTAAAATCCTTCCGGAAAATGTTATCACTTGGCTATTTTGTACGTCCACCTCCTCACTTGTCCGTCCATTCCTCTACATAGAATTCCATAGTGTGAACTAAATACTGTGAAAACCTTTCATTTATTTATTTGTCTGCTCTAAATTCTGTAGGTCTTAGCCAGTAGAGATTTTCTTTTGTTTACTAACAAGTATAATTTGTTTCAGAAAACACCTCATATGACAATGGTGTTGTCCGTGACGACGACAGCGGCCACGGCAGAGGCCAGGGCCAAACGGGAGACCACTCGGCTGAACGAACTGGCATATCGGGTGTTGAAGTCCATAGACGCCTTGATGGAAACGCAGAGTCAGGACAACAGGTGTCTGCAGTATTGGCTGTGTGACAACAACAAGTACTCCAGAGCTCTCAACTCCAACAACAGGCTGTGGTTGCCGGTGTGGAGGTTTGTATGCAGTTGTATCGTCAATGTTTGGGCACACACGCATTGTGTGTGCGCACATATTCTTTTTCCTACAGTCATGCTGTGAAACATATTCTTTTTCCTACAGTCACAGGAAAAAGTGGGCTTCCTTGCACAGATTATAGTACAGAAAGCCTTACTTTGGCGCACATTTCTCATTTCGTTCAATGTTTGGATTTAACCTAACCTAAAAACGTGTTGTACAGTGTTTCAAAGACTAATTATTTATATGATTTATAGTAACTGTAGGAATAATATAATGTGTAACACGAGTGCAAAATGCCTTTAGAAATTTTACATACTCGCATACGGTTCGTGCGTAAACATTTCTCTCGTGTGCAGCAAAGTGCTACTTCGCCCACTAGTTACACAAATAACTATTCTTTCAACCTTGCATTTTCTCAGAGGGCTGTGCGTGGAACGTATTTAACAACGCAATGGGTGAGTCTGACCATTACAAGCTGTACTGATAAATTCAGAAAATAACGGCAGCAGGACGTGAACTCACGACATAACTTTAGATTAGTAGACCTTTGCCGGCGCTACCGACGGAGCCATTGACTTGTAAATTTTAGGCTAAGTGTAGTGATATTGAAATACATACACATATTGATACGAAACTACATGAAATAATATCAATTCAGTTAAAAGTAGGATAGTATGCTATCAACATATATGATATAAACTTCTCCTCTAAGTACTTGCCCATGGAGTTGATATTCATTCCCTGTTAAGTTTAGCCAGTTGTAGAAAAAATTGTCGCAGTTAAATTAGCCACCAAGAGAGTGGACTGCTGTAATTTTTTTCGTCGTCCACACAGACTGTAACAGAACCAAACTGAAAGGACTCGCTATTGTATACCATAGCACTATTTGTGTCTCATCAACTTTGCAGTAACAATAACCAGCAGCTAATCACCGGTCTTCGGGTAAAGGAGTGTAATATATATAATGTTACACACACCGTGGTTCATTCAACCATATTAGTGTTTAATAAGAGTTTGGCGACAGCTGGTCCATATAGATCTCTGTATTAGTATTCTTAAGTCAATAGTTCATATTGTATGATGATTTCCGGTTTCTGTTCCAGTCTAGGGATGAGCTGGGTGTCTGGACTGTGGCACAGCGGTGGTTCTCGTATAGACAACATCAGGGCCTCCGTGCTGGGGCTGGGGAACGCCAACTGTTCAGCCAACTACCCTGGGTGTGATGGACGAAAGGGTTAACATGACTGTGTCAAAAATTGTACATCTGCCATGCAACGTTTATATTGCTTTACAAAAAGACTTCAGCCAAGTAGTCCGAACGAAAGGGGTGTTTCCTCATACCCAAAATGGAATAGGCGCAAAGAAGAAATAACAGTGTCACCATATCAAAACTAATATATTTGCTTTTTCACTATGTTCAAAGTCACTATAACTCAAAATTTAATTTAAGTGTTAAAAATGTAGACTTCGTATTTACGTTGTTGAGTAGTTATTTTCTATCAATCTTCGCATTGCACAACTCAAGGGGAAATGGAGCGAGTGTCGTTCGTTTCTTTGCCGTGGAGTTTATAAACTGTAAAAACCGTTAGATAGGCCCGAGTGCCGTTTGACTCCCCAGAGCGTAAGAGTGATTCAGGGGAGGGATATTAGTGGAAGGGGGTGTAGTGGGCATGATGTAACGGGGACCGGGTACAGTTTCTTAACTGGGCTACCCTAATATCGATTAAAAATTAATATCAATTCGATTAGTAAACTTTCATCCAATTTGTTCATCAGCAAGTTTGGTTAGGTTAGCTTAGGTTATAACAGTTTCACTTTATCCCTAAAACTAATTTTGCTCACCCCCTGGCCGATCTTTTCACCCCCATACTATACCCGCCGCAGCGTGCCACCGGTCACTGATAGCCGGCACTCGCCCCACCAAGAGACTGTAAAACGCCCTCGTCAAAGTGTTGAGGCAAACGGCACTCGGCCCTGCACTCCAAATCAAACACTGTACACAGTACAAGTCTGCAGACCAATGATTAACTAGACTTTACAGAAAAAATTAATGGTTTATTCACTTTAATATACTAAATTTAATCAGCAAGCATATCATGAAACAGCTTTTGGAATTTACTGAATTATTCAGATTTCAAAATTGTTGTGATTACATAAGGTTTAGTTTCCACGGAAAATCTGGAGTTTTCAACAGAGTTTTACAAGTTAATTTTCATCACATCTACCCATGCCGCGGAAAAAGGCTTAATTTTAAAATTAGCAGCTTTTATTAAACTACCCAACAATTTCAAATGTAAAAAGTAAACCGTTGAAGTGCTATACTGTTTGAGTATGAGAAACGCAACACATGAACAAGAATAACATTCAAAATATATAAACCGTCAAATGTGATATGTATGTTTATTTGTGCCCGTCCTAAAATGCCCTCCTAATATTAATTGAAACTGGAACCAAGCGAATTGCCGTAATATTTTTTTTTTTCTTCCCCTTACACATTTTGTACCTCAGAATTTTAAAACACCTCGCGTAATTCATGCTATTTAAATATTAAAGAAGGCATAGCAAATATCAACATTTTTAATATCTCTGCAGGTAATTAAAATAACGTGTTTTTTATACAGAAACTCAGAGTTTAAAGTTTGAACAAATTAAAACTATTTTCATATGCAACTGGAGAACACGAGTTGGAGATAAAGATAAACCTTAGGTAAACAATTGCATAAACCAGACCTTGTACGTTATTCAAAGTACTTCTTCCGGGTAGTACTTGATAGATATTTGTAATTCGGTAACAATTCGCTATTCAAACGAATTAGCTACAGAAATACTATCACTGGACAGTGGAAATACAAAAATTCAAGAGGCATTGTAGGTTGTGAAGGTTTTCGATGTTCTTATGACGAAAAGTCTTAGAATGAATAATAAAAAACATATATCAACACATTTGCCACAGTGCGCGGCGCGCGGCGGAAGGTATGAGAGATCTCTGATCTATTGGATCACAACAATGACAACGAGGAGCGGATCTGTGTATCTCGTTAACTCGTATCTCTGTCCACAACTCGTTACATATACTCTATCTCTCACTCTCTCTCGCACTCTCACGGCCCGTGGGGAACAATATCCTCTCGTGTTTGGTCTGTTTGGGTCACGTGTAACATTACCACCGGGATCAGTCATACATCTGTGGTACTGCGGGATTAAGTCGGTCGAAAAGGGGGCAATCATTAGGTAAAATATTGAACTCTTTTACAACTCACTTGCCACATACGTTCGAAACTTAACGGGGGCTTGGAGTTCTTTTTCCACCTTACGACAAATTATTAAAGGGAGCTTGGAATTTTATGAGTGATTTATAATTATACAACTGATTTGAGAGTAATTATAGTATGATGAATAAGAAACTGTGACAGTACACTGATTAAAGGTACCTAGATATGCTTTTGTTAAATTGAAAACGAAAACGAAATTTTAAAAAAATCTGTGAATCTTATGTCTGTTTTTGGCATTTTTCTCTATGGAAATCGTCCATTGTTTTTTTTTTTATTAAGTTGTAAAATCATTTTACTTCCAACTAAATAAACGGCTGGTTTAAGGAATGACTTAGCCTTTTCCAAATTTAAAGGAGTTGGTTTGCGGAGTACATTGAATTTAGAAGTATCTTGATTATGTCTTATCTTATGAATAATTTTCCTACAGCTACCTAACAGTGTACATGTTCTCTCGCTGATTTGAGAAAGCAAAGTGGCCAATTCGCTCATTAGTGAAACATTGTCTCACTCTAATTACTTTGTCTCACTCCAGATTCGCAACGTGAAGACACGAAATCACCCGAAATGGTGGTGTGACAACAGGACTGAATTTGACGGGGACGCGGAAAGGTCGCCCCCGGAAACATCACCCCCCTACGTCATAATGACGTCAGAGACTGGGGGGTGATGTTTCCGGCCGCGGACACTCAATTTCAGTTGCAGCATGCACTCGTCGATATGACGAGTTATTTTTGAGTTTGAGTATTAATTAGATAATTATATTCACTTATCATATACAATTACCAGATTTTCTAATCACAATTTATGTTAACCGGATACTTTAACCCCGATCGTTTTCAAAATGCACACCCCGGAAAGGTCCCCCCCTGCCATGATCACCCCCGGTATACCTGCTGTAGGGCTTGGGCTCGTGGCTCGAGCCAGCTATTGTTCACAAGGGTAGAGACTGTCCCATATTACCACCGCTCGACTGAACTCGCAAGAATGGGAAGGATTTGGCATTATTACGCAAATGTTGTGGATATTAAGATAAATACAAATTAACACTTTGATATTGTGATTTCTCTAGACATTTCCCCTTAATTTTATACATCAAATTATGTATAAACTACGTATAGTTTTTTTCCGTCAACGTATGAAATGTATTTGAAACACGTGGAAATGAAATAAAATGTTTATAGTAATAGTAAAAATTAAGTAAGGAATCAACTCGTATTAATATGAGCATGCTTCAACCACTCAACATCATAATACAGTACACACTTGACAAACATATTTTCACATTTCCTAATTCTTAAATTGTAAACATTGAGCAATAAATGATGTATATGATATACATTTAAATAATTGTCTGGATTTTATACTAAAATAAATGCATTGAGAACATTCCTGACTTGATATTGGTGAAGGACTCTTTCCCGTAAAAAGAATTTAGAAAGTAAATATTGGTTAGTTTCTTCGGCAATAAACAGGAAAAAGCTCACAATGTTTAAGTTTGCGTTGATAGAGAAGTAAGCAACCGTGTCACATTCACTTTATTTAATGATTTCACACTGCTGATATTAAATAAGTAAATTGACATTGAGTAGTACAGTTATTCCATGAACGGTCGCCCATTGTTTTGAAAATTACACATTTATATCTACCTGTAGTTCGCAGAATATTAATACGTATAACTTAAAAGTTTGCAAGAGAACATAATCCTAAGTATAGTATCCACTATTCTCAAAGTATTGATTTATGGAATTCGTCTGTAATTTGCAGACTATTAATTCGTAGAGTACAACTGTATTTATAGCGGGAAGTATTTTTTTGTAAAATAGCTAGACTTCCCCACTTCAGGTGTCCCTCCCAAAAATACCTGAGCCAAATACGTTTGTTTAACATAGTTAAGGAAAAGTTTAGTTAGTTATTTTCTAAAGTCAGTTTCAACTTTTTACCATAATTCTTACATTACCATAATTCATAATTATCAGTCTTATCTAGCCTATGTACTTAATTAATTTGGAAGGGGTTGATTTGTGAACAGAACGCCTCATAGAGTTTTAAACAGATTTTGAAAATGTTAATGTAATTTGTATAAAGTATACTGTGTAGTTGCACTAACAATATAATCAGCTCAAAATACGGTAGGGGATTTTCCCCAGTGTTTTCCAGAAACCTGCTACAACGTTTCACATTTTTATAACCCTCAAAATTTTGGTATATCGATATAGACTACACACATTCTACAAACATGACATAACTTTCATGGCATAAACTTATAGGCCTACTTACACAGATTTGATTTCAGACAAATCTTGATTTTACCCAATGGTAGAAGTATTAGAGATGTATAGTTCAAATCTACAGATTTCCTGAATACGAAGATCCGTTACGGTAGGAAAAAACTACATTTAAAACTGAAAACAGTATGGGGGCAAACACCGACGATCAATATTTAAGTAACTACTTGTAACATAAAAACGTCAATGACAGTTTGAAACCAGCTGTTAGTTAAAACAGCACTGAAACGATTTTAAATTATTAGCGACGGCTGCTAGACTAAAAAAATTAAACTTAAAAAAATGAAATCATGGCATTGACATTCCCTTCCTTTGAAAATTATATTTTATTTCAACACAAAAATCACGAAAATCGCGAAAGTGGTTGATTCATAATTTTGAAATTAAAAAAAACTCTGTCACGTTTAAACATATAATATATCACAATCAATTGCACGCTCTAGTGGAAATCGATGAAACCCACTCATGTGAATTCTTGCTTATCCGTTTACTTTTCCACTCTTTGCGTTTTTGTACATGCCAATTCAAGTCTTAAAACATTACATTTAAAACAATTGTATTAAATCTTCCATAAATTACAAGAAACAGTGACTCATTCATTTCCCCCGATTCCGAATATTTGTGCGCAATCTTGGCGACTTATGTTCAGTCTCCAGCATTTTGGAGGTGTTCGCAATTCAGACACACCCGTTCCCATAGTCAGATTATGCTGGTTCACGAACTCGTTCTAATAAACTTAGGCTTACACATTTGTAACAAATCTCATCAAACTCGCAGCGTTGTTGCCCGAGTTACCGCGCTCACGGTCACATATACAACATATACAGAGTACCTACTTATAAAGTCCCGCATGGGCTTAATATTTTCAAAACGGCAATAGATAAATCAATAAGAGTTGGTACATAAACACCACACCTAAAAACAACGTTTTAAAGACTGTCAGTTTTCTGTCATATAATGGGGACATCCCGCAAGGAGTCAGTAGGAAATCTTAAATAAGAGCATAAGTTGATATTTACAGATAACCGTAGGCATATTCTACAACTTAGTAAAACGTTATTTTTTGTATTTCATTTTTCATTTAGGGCACAAATGATTTTTCTTTTTGCTTTCTTTATTTGTTGTGCTCTTGGTCTTTAATGTTTACCAGGTTTTTAATGATTTATTTGTTACCAAAAACAATTTAAGAAAATATATTTAATTATTTACTTACATTATTTTTTACGTAGTTAAAATGAATTATTTGATTTGATAATTTGAAATATTATCAGCATATTTTTCAACCTTTTCCCATATAAGAAGGCGTCCAAACACTACCAAATAGGTAAAGGTACTACAGTAGCAAAATGTGTATTTATAAAAAGAAATAAAAATAAGAATACGAAACACACAAATTTAAAGTGCGTAACAAAAAAAACCTTCGCTATTTATCTTTATGCATTTTTCTTCTTTTTGTGCTCTTGTTTTTGATTTTTAAATATATTTTATTGTTTTAAATTATATTGTAAATGAAGTTTGTACTGTATAAATTCCTTGACACTTTGTAGAATATTAAATTTTTATTCAGTTATATTTTTGTATTTTCTTATATGTATAGGCCTAAAAGACGATTTAGTACTCATTGTGTGTATTTATTTCTCAATTTAAGAACCTGTCTTCCAAACATTGTTACAAAATCCTAAATTTGTTTTAGCGAATTTCCCCTATAGGGAATAAGCTATTACCGTAGTACTCATGGTAAGACCTGGATCCGGGACCGATTTACTTTTTCGTTTTGAAGTCCCTAGATGCCAAAAACACCATCCGTTCAAATTTATAAATTTGACGAAATTTGGTAAGTACAAGCGTGTAAACCTACGTTTATTCGAACGAGTTCGCGAACCATCATGATCGGACCAAGGGAACGGGGTTTTATGGGGTAAAAATTGGTTTTTCCCATTTTTGACAGTAAAAACTTAAAATTTAGCAATTTCTTTATAAACCATTTTGTAGAGCTTAAAAAAAACAAATAATTTAGTATATTGAAGCATTAATTATGCGCCTAATGGTTACGGAGAAAATTCCAAAAATCTGTAAATTTAAAATTTCCATGTTATACTTAGAATAAGTAGGTAAACTGTTGTAGTTGGCTTGTTTATATACATACAATTTTAATCAAATTTGGAAAATGCATTCATTTCATACTAAACTATTATCATTTAAAAAAAAAAACACCTTTTTACCCCTCCCTGTTGTAGCAAACCTAAGTACTCGTTAAACTTTGATGGTTCAAAACTGGACCCAGCTGTTCCTGATCATTGGGCTTTAAATAAATGATCCTGGCTAATGAAACAGCTGATCTTAGTCAGTAACAAAGCTACACAGATCATCTCACACCATTCTACACTCATATTTGGGTCAAAATACGCACCTAGGTGGCGTCCCCATATCAATTGATATTGATATGTATTGAAATAATGTTATTTAAATAGGGAATAAATGTGATATTTTTACAGAGACATTTTAGCGTAAATCCAATCAGGCAAATGGAAATTCGCTTAGTCTGCAGGTTTGCTGTGGCGGGGGTATTTTTGATTAAAATTGGCACTTTGTGATACATTAATTGGAGTATATACGAATGTTACTATCGTTTAAGCGATGTAATACAAGTTTACAGCTCAACATTTCAAATTTTGATTACATATTAAAAATTTGAACTCACGTATATTTTCCCCTTAGTAATTATGAAACATAATTTTGCAAACTTCAGTGGCAAAAAGGTTTTCTAAACATATACATCTTATAACAAAACTAATTTATTGGTATATCAACACTGATTGCAAGTCCTCTTCTCGATTTTAAGTTATTCTGATATTTTGATTATACTTTAATTATATTTTGACTCTATTCCAGTGATATGAATCAAGCCTAGGCTGTTTCTGAATTAAGGTACTTTTTGGCATAACCTTTAGAATAGTATCATTTACATATTTGTAATTACTAACAATTAATTATTTAGTTAAATTTAAGGGATTAATCCCCTAAAAGATATTTTTATGTTTATTCTTATTTAATAATCTGTTTATAATTTTCAAATTATGAATTAAATCGGGGCCAAACCTAAAGCAATGCGATTCATTTTTAATACATTTAGAAATTATTCTATTTTTAACAAATGTGTTGCTTAACAATTACCATAGGGTGTAAGGTAAGTTTACTGATGTTGATAATTATAACTACTATTTAATGCAACAGAAAAAATGTATACTCTACGCATTATCGTTGGTTATGAATTAAGTATAAAAGAATCATTTTTAAAGTCAATCTTTGCTCGTATTATTTAGTTGTCTTAGAAGTTCATACATATCTAAATCTACTGATTGATATTCCACCACAGCGTCTGCAACTTTCTTCTGTGGAAAAGCTGTTGTCCAAGCGACAATAATAATGAACGAGCGGCCAACCCTCAGAACAATGGACTGGGGAGGACGGGCAGCAGGTAGGCTGCCGAGCAGCCCAGCCCTACTAGGGGTAGCGTTTCAGGGGGGGACGATTCCGGGGTGTACACAGGGGATGCCTTGCCGGGAGAGACCTTCCCGTTTCTACTTGTTTGAATTAAAATTAATAACATAATTAGTTCGTATCAACTAGACTTTGATAAATTACTTGTCAAGCCCTTGGGGGGGTGCGATTCCGGTCGCGGACATAGATTTTATACCAGCTGGTTGTCTGGTTTCGTGACGTCACGTTTAGCCTGGGGGGTGATGTTTCCGGGGGCGACCATTCCGGCGACCCAATTTGACCTGGTCCGTTCTGGGTCCGCAGGCGCAGCCATGCGGATAATTTCAGGGGTGCGACATTAGGACTGAGGGAGATCTCCCTCACCGCGTCGGTTTCTTCCGTTCTCCCGCGGCCAGCACCCTTCTTCCTACCCTCACAGACACAGGCAAGAGAACTAATCACCTAATGGAGTCGTTCACTAGGTCGCTGAGAACGCATCACCTCATGGAATCGTTCACCTAATTGCTGCGTCGTGTTTTTGAGAGAACTCGACAGTGCAGCATATTCTTTCCAGTTCAAAACTAAAATGTTTAATCACTCTAACAGTTGTTATATCCATTAAATAATGAATAAAATATAGGCTCTATTATTTAGTAAGTTACATAATGTATAGTGAATGGAAAAACGAGGAGTAAGTTAAAAAAGCTGTTTAGTTGTACAATGTCTTAAATATTAAAAAAAAATTATTTTCCGAATTCGTTTAGCTCTTCTACCCGAACGATTTTCATGATTGAGGTCTCAAATTGAAAGTATGCACGCACAGATTTGCCATCAAGCATTGGCATATAATTATCTATAGTCTCACTTGGTCTATACGTAAACGAAATTTGCTCTCCATGTATTTCTTATAGGAGTAAAATTTGGGTTCTCTTTGCCGAGTTCTAGCTCTTCTACCCGACCGATTTTCATGATTGAGGTATCAAACTGAAGAAATGCACGCACAGATTTGCCATCAAGCATCGATCGGCATATAATTATCTATTATCCCACTCGGCCTACACGTAAACAAAATTGCTTCCCTTATATTTTTTATGGGAGTTAATTTAGGGTTTTCTTTTCCGAGTTCGTTTGGCTCTTCTACACGACCGATTTCCATGATTGAGGTCTCAAAATGAAGGCATGCTTGCCAATAATTGACAAATATTTACCTACTGTATTACTCGACAAAAAACATAATTTGATATATTTTTGAGTTCTTACTACAATTTATGATGTATTTCACGAGTTACTATACAATCCTATATATTTTAGTCTAAGAACCTCCAGTGAAATACCGCCTTTCATTTAAGCTATTATTTATTCAAATCGGACGAGTTTAAAGCAAACGTAAGGTGAACAACCAACAGAAATATTATTTTCCAAAAGGGTTTTCTATGATTAAAATCAATAGCTCCAGTATTGTGCATGTTTTTGTACATGTTTAAAACTAAAAATAATTAGTAAATTATAGGCTTTAATTTGAGCTATTGATCGTTTGAATCAGTTAAGCTCAAGATACTGTGTTACTCAATCAAAAATCATAAATTTGATTATATATCGGATATTATATCTATCTTAACGCTGCGGAGCAGCATGGGTCCTCTAGTTTACTATTATTTATAAAATCGTTACTTGCATTAAAACCAGCTCAGTTTGAACAAACAAATACATTTAAATAGGGTATACAGTTTACCCAAAGACACTTTAAACTTTCACTTTACACTTTTTAGCCGGGGTATTTTGCATGTAGACCTAATGTGAATTTAGGCTTTTCATATTAGTAAATTTATGAAAATTTAATGTTCGTCATGGGCAATATATACGTTTAAAAATAGTTAAAGATATGAAAGTAAAACCTAAAATTAAACTAAAGTAATTATTAGGTTGTTAGTTAATTTTGTAGTAAAATGTTAAATTGTACTACTGTATTGATATAAGGAGTAAAGGTGTTGTTGACGTTAAGTCGTATTAACTGGGTTTATTTATTTAAATAATGCCAACTTTAAATATTTGGTACAACTTTCAAGCATAGAACTCACTACTGTGGACATACACCAACAACGCTCTGATTTTCGTTTCAGTACAGTGTGGTATTGTTAGTTTGTGGAACGCATCTCACGAACTCCCTGGATTGCGGCAAATGCAGCTCATAGAATTAAAATTTGATGTCATAGGGTTTGTTGTGGACGGATACTGATCTGTTATTTTCTGTGAACATATTTCAGAAAGTTCATTGGCATTGGTGTTGTAGTACATAAATTATTTCTCAGTAATCCATTACATACGACCTAATAGCTGGAAGGTCCAGATTACAGAACATATTGGGAACTATGAACAGAGGAAAGGGAATGTGTGACCCTTCCTGGAATTCCTAGCTCGACGCAGACGTTTCTCTTTGTTAACTATGCATCAGGTGAACGGGATGTTGGTAAATAATAGAAAATCTCAATAACTAACGGTACCAAATGTTGTCATGGTGAAGTGTTGTTTAAGAAATAAAACATTTCTTTACTGACACTAATATATTTCAATCCTCCAGCAGTGCTTGCTAAACAGAGGATGAGGATACTGTCCATCACATTGCTAGAACTTAAGTAAAAAAATATTTATACTACTTGAATTTACATGCTACATCAGTGACACACTTTTGATTGTCATTTATATATTTAGATAAAAAGATACATTTATGATATTATACGTTCCAAACAAATTAAAATATTGTAATTTTAAATTTCATGTAGTTTCCTGCTTCAACGCGAGGTCCGATATAAATTGTCGTTTTCATTCGTTTATGGTTTTCAATTTCGATAACTTGAGTGGAGTGATTGATTACATCATCTTTGAGTTGACTCTTTCAAGTCATCGGAAATTATTACTGTTATTCGTTTTGAAATAATGCCTGAAATACTTTGCAATGCTCGAATACGAGCAACGGAAGCACTAGTTTAAAATAATAGTTGTTAGCGCTGCAACGCGCACCCGTAGAGTATTATAGGCCTACATCGATGCGCGCACCGGGTAACTGCTAGTAATACATAAATATTTAAACAAAAACTGTATGGATCATAAACATAAATAAATGGTGTCGCTTGCCGAAATGTAATAGTAATTTTCATTACCCTACACACGAAAGTACCTACACTTTTTGAGGTCGATTCACACATAACAGTTACGACACGTCACAGTTCAGATATATCAGTCACGTCACAGTTAGCCAAAATATTCTTTAATGGATTTTCTATTGCTTTATATACACTCATCCGGCGCAAATCCGTCAGTCGCTCTCTCGGCGTCCGTCAGTCAATTCCAGATTTCTTTCTACCGACATTTTTGGTTTTCGGCCTCCTGTCGGACGTGTTTGAGATTAGAAAATAGTGGGGTTTTTCATTTAAATTATCGAGTTTGTATTTTAAGTACTGTTTGTAACAATGGACAAGATTTAGGATGAGATTTTGATAGAATATTAAGTTTTAATTTACCATTTTTCACTGTAACATCACTGTAAATATAGTAACGCAAGTACGACTGAAACCAAATGAATGACCCTGACAATCCACAACACATTAATTTATGTTACAGTCGATGGTAAAATTACTCGTTCCTATACTCTATACTTATATAATTTGACTGAGAAATTTTGGATTCAACTGAGACTGAACTGTGACTGGTCTGTGGTGGAACTGTGACGGAACTGATATAAATGAACTAAGAAAATACAGTAGGTTATTTCCGCTACTGCAGCAAAATTACATAACGTTAACTTTCTGTGCATTTGTGGTGCACGGAACGTAACCGGTATGGGATTTTGCTGTGCAGACCCCATATTGAATAATCAAAGGTATTCGTATTGTTTACAAGTTTTTCGATATCGTAATGAAAAATAATGTTAAATACTCATCTGAAAAGTGCCATTGCGGGTTCGAAAGCTTTTTCCAAACAAATAAATCTGGCTAATAATTATCATAAAATTTGGTAACTTATGGATGATAAGCATAAACAAATGACGGAACTGAACGAATCTTATACTAACTAGCAACACCGGGGGTGTTAGAAACTCTTTGCCATATTCTCATAATTGCTTGTTTCCTCTATGACATTTGTATTTGGAATGATTTAACTAACATCTGTTATATTCTTTGTTTTTTTAAATATACACAATTACAGTCTACTTAAAGCCCTTTAATTATTTTACCCACGACCGTTTTTTAAAAGTAACCATTTCAGTTTAGTTCTCAGAATTGAAAAGTTTCACTTAACAGCTGTTTACTTTCATAACAGCATTATTTCATTTCATAACAGCATAGTTTTTCTCATAACAACACGGGTAACGGACCAATGAGATTCAAGGATTGAGAGAAAAGAAGTAAAATTTTAATGTTTCGAACGTCAACTAATCAGCTGATCAGGATTTTATTCGTTGTAACAATTGACGTACAACACTTTGTTTTAGTAAATACACTTGTTAGTAAGCGTATTTTTAAACATAAAATCATAAAGGTCTCAATGTAATATTTCAATGAGTGCATCGTCATTACTTTTACACCATCCTAGGTAGCCTAAATAAGTGTTTACAATCTGAGTTAACAAAGCGGACTTTTGAATCAAGTCAAGTGGTACGGTTGAATTTCGTATCTAAATAAAATGGGTGATCAAACAACCATTTTACGGCATTTTAAAGGAACCAAAATTGTCTCTTCTGAATCTTGATCTCGTTGCGAGGCACTGGAATAGCGGCTAAATTATATTAATAAAGACGAATGCTAACAAGTGAACGATTCCATGAGCCGATCCGTTCACTATCCCACTAGTTCACTATGTGTCCGGGGGTAGGGTGATGGGAATAAGGCAGGGAGAACGGGGAGATTCCATTCAGTCCTAATGTCGCACCCTCGCATTATGCCGCACGACTGCCCCAGAGGGCTCTGGCTGGCCCAGGTCAAATTCAGTCCTGTTGTCGCT